TACTGGCATCCAGTTTTTTCAGGCTTGTTCTTTAAAATCCATTCTGTTTATGTCTTTGCAACTTATTAATATTAAAGAGCTATTCCATGATCATGAAAGTCCATTTGCAGCATAATATTCTTTACTTTAGGGGTGAAAAGAGGTCATTTCATCATCTAGAAAATTGCAGTACGTTGTTCTGTCCTATATTCTTAATCTCCAGTTATATAAACAATTCTATTTATTCTCAATTTTGCATCTGAATATCTCTGCTTAAGATTGATACTCAGCTACATCCCCCATTGTCTCTGCTTTTCACTACTATCTAGCAAGCGGTAAGTCAAAATGACATTCTTCCTAGCTATCTAGGATGTTGAATTTGCTTTAGTTGTTAGGAGCAGCTGTAGTTTCAGGCTACTGAAAAACTATCAGTTGGGCATTGAAGTAGCGTGACTGTGTATTAGTAAGTATGCCAAGCTTTCAAATTTCACAAGTAGCAAGTAACATACCTAAATATGAGGCTCACCCAGACAGAGCGTTGTTTAGATTCTGCCCACTGCAGGAATTATTCAAGATTGGTTCCTTTTGGCAGACTTCAGGGAAGAGTAGGAAGGAGAGTGAATCCTCTGTCTTCACAACTGATGATTCCCTTTCTTCACTCATCGTACTGGTGCCTTTTTCCTGTGATCACTTTCAGTGTTTTGCATTTGGTTAGGGTTTTGTTATTGTTGTTGTTTTTTCTTTTTTTACTTTTCTTTTTTCCTCCACATTTGTCAGGATACCATGATAAAAATCATGGAATCATAGAATAGTTTGGGTTGGAAGGCACCTTCAAAGGTCATCTAGTCCAGCTCCCTGCAATGGGCAAAGACATCTTCAACTAGATGAGGTTGCTCAGAACTACATCCAGCCTGGCCTTGAATGTTGGATCCACCACAACCTGTGCCAGTGTTTTACCGCTCTCATTGCAAAGATTTCTTCCTCATATCCAGCCTGAATCTTCTCTCTTTTCACAGTATCACAGTATCACAGTATGCTAGAGATTGGAAGGGACCTCAAAAGATCATCTAGTCCAATCCCCCTGCCGGAGCAGGAACACCTAGATAATGTTACACAGGAATGTGTCCAGGTGGGTTTTGACTCCACAACCTCCCTGGGCAGCCTGTTCCAGTGTTTCGTCACCCTCACTGAGAAGAAGTTTCTTCTCAAGTTTAAGTGGAACCTCTTGTGTTCCAGTTTGTACCCATTACCCCTTGTCCTATCATTGTTTGCCACTGAGTAGAGCCTGGCTCCATCCTCGTGACACTCCCCCTTTATATATTTATAGACACTAATAAGGTCACCCCTCAGTCTCCTCCAAACTATAGAGACCCAGCTCCCTCAGTCTTTCCTCATAAGGGAGATGCTCCACTCCCTTAATCATCTTAGTTGCCCTGCGCTGGACTCTCTCCAGCAGCTCCCTGTCCTTCTTGAACTGAGGGGCCCAGAACTGGACACAATATTCCAGATGGGGTCTCACCAGGGCAGAGTAGAGGGGAAGGAGGACCTCTCTCGACCTACTAACCACCCCCCTTCTAATACACCCCAGGATGCCATTGGCCTTCTTGGCCACAAGGGCACAGTGTTGGCTCATGGTCATCCTGTCGTCCACTAGGACCCCCAGGTCCCTCTCCCCTACACTGCTCTCTAACAGGTCGTTCCCCAACCTATACTGGAACCTGGGGTTGTTCCTGCCCAGGTGCAGGACTCTACACTTTCCCTTGTTATATTTCATCCAGTTATTCCCTGCCCAACTCTCCAGCCTGTCCAGGTCTCGCTGGATGGCAGCACAGCCTTCTGGCGTGTCAGCCACTCCTCCCAGCTTAGTGTCATCAGCAAACTTGCTGATAGTACACTCAATTCCCTCATCTAAATCATTGATGAATATATTAAATAATACTGGTCCCAGTACTGACCCTTGAGGCACTCCACTAGTTACAGGCCTCCAACTAGACTCAGCCCCATAGACTACAACTCTCTGGCTTCTCTCCTTCAGCCAGTTCACAGTCCACCTCACTACCTGATCATCCAGTCCACACTTCCTCAATTTAGCCATGAGGATGCTGTGGGAGACTGTGTCAAATGCTTTGCTGAAGTCTTGTCTTGGAGTTTCATTTAAAACCATTACCCCTTGTCGTATTGCAACAGGCCCTGCTAAAAAATCTCTCATCATCTTCCTTATAGGCCCTTTAAAATATTAATAATATTAATTGGTTATTAATTAATAGTAATTCTATGTTAACATTATTAACATTGAAAAAAATGGTGAAAAAAGGTAATTTAAATTTGTATACTGTAAAGCCCCAAATGAGAGTTTGAGAATTACATCATTAGTTAAAAGCTAGGGAGGGGAAGGAAAGAAATGCCAGTATGGGTCAGACAGTTTGTTACTTACAGCTAATATACAGCTTGGTGTGCAGCTCTGCTAAGGTTCCAAAAGTCTATGCAAAGTAAATTTTTATAGTTTGCTGGGTTTATATTCTATCTTTTCTGATATTCTGATTTTATTAATCAAACATGGTAGGTTAACTACTGTTTGACTTACATTTTCAAAGATGAAGGAGCTTTTTCTCATATCTCTGAATGGGAGCCATGCTGTCTGATACACTTATGCAAGCTTGGAATTTACTTGTACATGTTTTATTTGTGCATGTATGTACTTTTCAAAATTAATGGCTAAATTTGAGAAGCATTCTAAAGCTGAGGTTCATCTTCATCAGCTCCTTCACTGTCATACTTCTACAAAGGACAAAGCATCTTACAAGTAATAGGAAACCTGTTTCACTATTTGTCAACCTTGATTCTTTTTGTGCATTCTAAAGAAGGCTGATTTTCAGTTTTTTTCTGGTATTCCACAAGCTCAGAGAGAAATAGGATTTATTTCTCACCTCCCCCCCCCCCCCGTATCTACAATAATATTCATGTTTTTAATCTTTTTCATACCTAAAGAGTGTACGAGTATAGCACAAAAGATTAATGTGTTTGGAGTTAACTGATGGAACAGCTACTTTCCTTGTATTTGGCAGTGAGGTGGATTCATCTTATGGTTAAAACACGGAAAGTATTTTCACTTTCTTCATGGGACTTGAAGTCTGCATTCACATAATTACATATGGCCAATCAGTATTCCTTTTATACCAGAGTAAATCTGAAGTAATTTAACTTTTCATCAGTGTTACAATTATTTTGCACCAGCACAGAAATGAGTATGGGCAACAGTAATTTGACAGCTTTTTTTAAAAAAAAAAAAAATATTGTTTTTTCAGTACTTTCAAGCTGCAACTCTGGAAAGTACTGAAGAATGACTATTCATACAATATAGCAGTTTGTCTAATAAGTTCTTATTAAGTAAACCTATGCAGAAGAGAACAGAGAAGTTGGTCTCTTTTACAGAAAGGGATGAAGTTTTGCTCTAACTTCCGTGGATTTGGCCATCCCATTTAATGTGTTACATTTTCAGTTTTCCTGACAGCACTTCCAGCTTCCCTTCAAGCATCTCTCACTGTCCTCATGCTGTTTTTATTTTTCTCTGCTTTTCCACTTCTAGAAGGTGATAAGCCTTAAAATATTAAAATAGAAGAATAACTGTACATATATATAGTTCTAAGTGTGTCTTTTTCTGAACCATTACTCATTTAATGTAATGGTTTAGATTTCTGCATCTCCCAAGATTTTATGATACCTTAGTCAGATGCTGAAGAAACAGCTGCATTGTAATATTTGCATGTTTGCTGCCTTGCGCAAGGGCAGCCCATAATTTAAGGGGATCAAAATTTCCTGCTGTAGCATGCTTCCTCCAGTTAATTTAGCTGCAGTTTACTTTTTTAATACTTTACCCCATTTACTTTGTTTAAAACTTTGCCCCATTCTTTCTTCTTTTGTTGAGTGGGCTGGTGAATTTTTGTGTAAGCATTCAAAAAGAGCTGTGTATTTGCATGAACTCAGTGTCTAGACATTACACACAATAGGTTTCAATTTTGTTTTCCTCCTGAAATTCCTATTTTACTTGGTTCTGAATGTATGTATTTTGACTTACCTGAAAATGGCTTAATACATGTGAATATAAATAAGTGTCAGAAATATTTCTTTAGATGGCAAAATTATCTTCTTACTAGTCTTTCAGATCTGATGTTACATCAGATTGGGCTGAATTCTGGTCCTTTTAGTGAATGATACGTAAAATTTTTAACCAAGTTCCAGATGCCAGATGCTGCTCTTTTTTCTACTTCTGCAAAGCCACACAGGCTATTAGCTTTCAGAGTGTGGGTATGAAGGCGGAGTTTTTCATGTTCACAATGATGTGCGAACTAGAATTCAGCATGACTGATGAGCTTGACAGGGCTAGCACTTACAAAAAACATTGTTTCAGTCACAAACTGAGTATTAGAAGTCATTGAAACTATCTTAGTGCTGAATTATACAGTAAAATTCCTGTAGATTTTCTTCAGATTATGGAAATTAATGGACAATAGAACAGAATTCTCTGGTAAGTTGGTAGGAAGAATTTGATGTGAGTTAATTTGAAATACTTTGGATTATTAAACATATAGTAAAAATAAATAAAAATTACACTTACTCACATTCCTAGTATAGACAGGCAAGAGGGTGCTTAAAAAAATCAGTGATTAGCAAATGTAGAACAAATGGAAGTAATAACTACTTCAGCAGTATGTTTTCAAATTATTAAATTCACTGTTACATTTCATTAAATAAAATGTCTTTATTTTCGAATAGATGAATTTTATGATTTTCAGTAACTGTTACATTTTTGTTAGCCATGAGGAACATTCCTGTATGCGATACAAGACATTTGTTACAAAGCTACCTTGTAATTCATAAATATTGTTTCTTTTGTCATGCATATTGCATGATATAAGATGTAATTATTGAAGCATAAATAACATTTCAGTCCTTGAGATACTTGCAGAAGTCACCAGACTTGGTGTAGTATGATAAATACTCTGTTTATTTTGCTTCTACAGAAATGTAACTTGTGCAGACAAAGAATTAAGAAAACCTCCGGTGCCTGCATTCAGTGCTCATATGGACACTGTCCAGCCTCCTTTCATGTTACCTGTGCCCATGCTGCAGGAGTGCTGATGGAACCTGATGACTGGCCATATATTGTCTATATCACATGTTTCAGGCACAAGATCAATCAAAATGTGGTAATGAATTTGTTTCCTTGTTTGTTAAAAAATGGAATTGCTGAATTAATGTATGTTTCCATAGAACATGGAAGAAGGGATCCATGTGATCTATTATAATATCTCCATCTATCATATTTCCATGCATAACAAACCATTACACCTTGAAGGTTTTTCCTTCTGCTGTTACCTGGGAGAAGTGGTACTTAATATGCCTAACACATTTTTGCAAACACAACCAGGATCTAGTTTTACCTAGTTTTGACAGTGAGCAGTGAAACAGTTTTGTTTAAAACAGTGAAACAGCCCTATTTTTACTTGTTTAAATAGTAAAACTGTTTTCTCTATGTTGTGGCCACTTCCTTAGCCCCTTAAGTTTTCCACCTTCCTCCAATATATGTCCCTTGATACTGGAGTCCCCTTAGGCTGTTAAACAATGTTCATGATTTTCTTCACTTTAGTCTCTTTTATGCTAAATGGTAAATGTGCTGAAGTTTTGGATTTTTTTCTTCTATGTTGTTACAGCACTTAATATAGTGGTATATCTCTCCTAGAGAGACTTTTTTTTTTTTCCTGGCATTTTTGTATTCATATTAATAGAAAAACCTACAAAATGCTAATGAAAAGCGGTAAGTTATTTAAATTCAGAATTTCAATCTGAAATATATTCATACTTTCAATCTAATGTAAAACTACAGACTTTTTTAGTGTACATTTTAACTGGAATAGAAAAGTAGCCATTATTTTGAATGGTAAGAAACAAAACACATATCTGAAAAAAAACACATTAGTAATACAGTAACATGGAATCCAATAAAATCCTCTTACTGGCTTTCTTCATCTATATGAAATAGCGTCAAAGACAAAAACACCAGCCACTAACTGGGGAGAAAAATGACTTTGTGTGGCTACTGTTTTAGAGGTTTTGTGAAGGATGTTCAAAGTAGCTTGAATGAGACGAGACTAGCACATACTTCCCCAAAACTCAGCGCCAACCTTTTTGAAAATTTGTGGTATCAGCATTTCCATATGGCTCAAATAAAAATCGTATTTGGAGAAGAGAAAGAAAAAACATGCTTTTTGTATTCCTCATTGGGCCAAAAATTTGAAAGATCACGTATTTTGTTAAAGAATCTTTTTCTGGGATATTCTTATCTTCTGGGACATGTGAGATTGCCCTGTGTTTGCATATGCTTGGTTTTATACTTTGTCTTTTGGATAATTAATCTAATCATATCTTTAAGCCTTTGGAAGTTTTTTCACCATTTTCTTGTTATGCTTTTCTCTTCTATTAGCTATTTCTTCATGCAGAAATTACATTGCACTTCACCATTAGGCATAGCAATATATCTTACTTGTAATGAACTTTTTTAGTTTCTGTTTTAACTTCCTTGCTTGAAAGCAGAACAGGGGAATTGTGCAGTCTGAAATATTTTTGTACCCTTACAAATTTTTACAGGAATCGGATTTTCTTGTCAGCAAAAAGAAAAAAAAGATCTTCTGTTTTTTTAGCAGTTGAAAGCATTGTACATAAAGCAAGGACACTTACTTCACCTCATTTCAAGGAAGCAAAATTAAATTATCTGGTTTTCCACTAATATAGCCTCTAGATATTGGGCCTAAATGCTCAGTGAATACCTGTAATTGCTGTGTTCTTCAAGTTTAAAAAAAAATATCTAACAACCCAAAACTGAACAGCCAAAGGATGGATCCTGCGGACTAGGAAAAATTACAACATATATCTATAGTGGTATTTGTAATATGTAAATCAATGAGGATGCTCAATAAAAAAGGTACAGATAAATGTGTATTGTTACTACTATTAGAACCATAGAATAGTTAGGGTTGGAAAGATCATCTAGTTCCAGCCTCACTGCTGTGGGCAGGGACACCTTCCAGGGCCTTAAAACACTTTTAGGTATGGGGCATCCACAGCTTCTCTGGGCAGCCTGTTTCAGTGTCTCACCACCCTCATTGCGAAGAACTTCTTCCTAATGTCCAATCTAAATCAACCTTCAGTTTAAAGCCATTACCCCTTGTCCTGTCATTACTCTCTCTTATGAGTGTATCGCTTTACATCAGGCAAGAGCTTACTACAATGATGAGGTGGAGTACGCATCCAGATTATTTAGGGCTGTCATCTCAAGCAAATTGTGTCCAAATTACTCAGCAGTATACTTTTACAAGTGTATTGCTGAATATATTTTTCACTTGGGATCAGATTCTGTATTGTCTTTTGGATTTTTTCCTAAACTATCTTTTTAATTTCAACCATGGAAAACACTGGCTAATAATATCAACAAAAAGGCAATCAAAAGGGAAAGCATGATCCTTGCATCTGTATAGTGCTGCCAAAGGGAGTAAATGTACAAATACCAAGAACTGGACCTTTTAGATGTTGATACTGCTTTTCAAAAATAGGTTCTTTACAGGTCCGTGGACTCAAAACTGAGCATGACTCTTGTATTTGCTGAAGGCACAGCTTTAGAAATAACATAAAAATCTGCTAGCAGAATAGGTATTTTGTACAGAATGTTTTTGATTATTCCTGTCATGGCCTATGTTACTTTGTTATGTAAACTGGAGTGTCAATATGCAAAGAAAGCTCTGTGATTTACTACTTCCAGGCAGTAGGTTGTTTTGGTTTTTTCTCATTTTTTTCTCTTTGACTGTGCTTGTCTCTGGGCATGAAATATATCCCTCACACCTTTTTGTTATCAAACTGCAAGAATACTTGGAAATACGGTTGAGAATAGGTGCTGCAGATGGATATGTTTTGATTAAAAGAACTCTGTTGTACACAAGGAAATAAGAAAAAAGAAGAAAAAGAAGTTATATGAATTTATACTGACAGGAAAGAAAAATCCCCATAGGATCCATACAAGATTAGCAAAGGCAGCACTGAGGGTCAGAGAAAGCCAGCTGGAGGCAAACATGCACTCAGGTGATGTGCCATTTGAAAAGTGTGATCAGAAAAAGCCACCTAGGCAGCCCCAGTTACATGCATTTTGGAGACTGTCTTTAGAAGGGGCAAAGATAGTTGCAAAAACCTGCTGTATAGGAGTTGCAGAAACCCACTGTTGCTGCCTTTTGAGCTATTTCAAATTATCTTCTTCTGTTATTGGCCATTTCTTAGCACTGTCGCACAGGGAACGAAGGGATGCTTTCAAATGAAATCTGCACACTTTTTCTGCTGAACACCTGAGTAATGGAGTGAATGTCATTGTTTGCCACTGTCTGCTAAATACTGCCCATCTCTTAACATTTCAGTGAGACTAAGGCATGCCTTAGGAAGGACATATTACCCCAAAATCATGAGCCAATATAGTTTTGAATTCTCATGCATAATTTCTATGCCAAAATTGGAGTTCTGAGAAGTAAGCTTAAAATAATGATGAGAGTTATGTTCCTTTATAAAGTAGGTTTCAGAATTTTGAGGATCCTCCATTAAAAACTCTAGTGAGAGAAAGTTGCTATATATTTAGATATGCATCAGATACCTATTTCATGATGGTTATTACTATTTCATATACTGTAGTTTGTAGGATATATTTTAGGCAGTATTCAAGGCCAGTTTGGATGGATTCTTGAGTGAGGTGGTTTAGTGTGTGGTGTCCCTGACCATGGCAAGGGGGTTGGAACTAGATGATCATAAGGTCCTTTCCAACCCTAACTATTCTATGGCGATATGATTCCGTATATTTTATTTAAGAAGATTTTTGTGTCCTGTCATACAGAAAATGAAGGAGAAAGATTGTCCTTCTTATCTGATTGAGTTTTGCACACAGAAGGGGAGGTTAGCTATTTTTCTTTGTATCTTGTTTTCATTTCTGCCATTATACTACTTCATCCTTGGCTTCCTCTACTGTTAAAAGAAAATCATGCTTTTTAAACCACAGCTTTCTCAACAAGCTTGTAACTACCAGACCTGTTTCTTTAATCTGATAGACTCCCTTACATAACAACTGTCCTTACTGATCAAAAATTACATTCTTAACATCAATAAATTCTTCAGATTTTCTGGCATGAAATGTTTTCTTGGACATGAAATCAGTTACAGAGTCTGCTTGTCAATATTTTTGTGAGAAATAAATCAAGAGTCCTACCGAGATAACAGAAATAATCTCCTTGAACTAGGTTGCATTTCTGTTGTTTATTATTTGTTCTAATGAGCAATGGCACTTCTTCTCTGAAAATTTTGTCATTAAGCCAGTATTATCTCTTAAAATATATTTTGCCTTCCACCATCTCTGAAGAGTTCCATCTTCAGGTTTTAAAAACATTTAAACCTTGTAATAGAGCTAATTCTCCTTCATTTTCTGTAATATATATTTTTTTTCTTTATTATCTCATATAGGTAAATCAGGTAATACTCTCCAGTTTTCTTCTTATCCCTCCTTCCCTTTCCACCCAAATAACTGAATAGACTGAAGTAAATAATGGAAAGCTAAATTAACATATATATTTATATATGTTTCAAAATTGTGTAAAAAGTTATGTACTCCTATGATAATACCAGTAAAGTGTTACTTACATAGTTAATTATATTAATCAGTCTAACTATAGACAAGTGAAAAGAGGAAGAAACAATTTTGTTGTACATGTAAATGGTTAAATAATTTCTGAGTATGCTCAGAACATTATTTCTATCTAAATTTGAAGATGTTTTAGGAACATCACTGGGTTTTACTATCTGAGGTGACCTCAACTAAATCCTTCAAATGCGTATGTCAGGCAGACCTCTGACACACAGAGATTTAGCGCACTGCCTCCAGAAACATTACAGAATATTTATACTTTGCTCTTAGTTTGAGGGAGCAAAGAAGTTTAAAAACTCTAAATCCCAGAAACTGGTCAAAGAAGGATGTATGGTAGTGACTACAGACTCGACAAAACCACAAGTGTTCAAGTTTAGGGTGTTTTTTCTGTGCCCCAGAAGCATTGACATTACTATTAATGCTTGGAATCTTAACAGAAGCTGTCATTGTTTCTCCCTTTGATATTAATGCTAAAAATTATACAACTAGCAGTTTCCAGCTTTTCACAGATGCTTTTTAAGATCACTGTATCGATTGAAGAATTCACTGCCTGTTAAAATCTGAGTAATTACTTTAGCATATGTAGTAAATTATTTCATGCTGTTTATATATAAAATAAATATAAGTTTAGAAATCTATAAATGTTTAATTTTTTTATTAATTATATTCATTTATTCTAAATTAAAAAAAAAAATGCTTAATATATGCTAGTGTAGTTGACCCTGTTAGTAGCATTAAAAGTTCAACAGATCAGATCTCACCAAAGCCACAATAACTCACTTTTCAGTAAACAAATGGACGTATGTGAGGTAATGAGTAGACCACCAGGATCATAAGAAAGAAGTGCCTTCCTTGTGTTACTAGGATGAGAAGCTCTTGATGTTATTTTTTTTCTGGTGAAGAAGCCTGCTTTTTAAGTCCCTTGGGGGTACATTAGCTGGGAGCTGAGATTTAACACTCATCAGCTGCAAAAATATTTTTGAGTGCTGTGATTTGCTATTCTTCAAATGCCATTTCCTTTCTCATAAAATGGAGAAACTCCTATGTAAAACAAATTTGTGTGATCACAATTGGAAGGAACAATTTTGCATTTGAAGTTTTTACATTGAGTAGTGTTATGAATTCTGTTTTGACACTGATAAATTTCAGATGATATTTAAAAATTACTTTTTCTTTTAAATTCTTCCCTTTTTTTTCAAGAGAGCTAAAGCATGTGAGAAAGGCATTAGAGTTGGGCAGACAGTCATCACGAAACACAGGAATACAAGATACTATAGTTGCAGAGTCATAAGAGTGACATCTCAACTTTTCTATGAAGTGATGTTTGATGATGGCTCTTTCAGTCTGGATACTTTTCCTGAAGACATTGTAGTAAGTATTTTTGTCAGATACCTGTTCTTTTATTGTTGGTGTGGACTTTTTTGGGGTGTTGTTCTTGGGGGTTTTGTTTTGGCTTTTTTTTTTTTAGTTTGGTTTGTTTGATTGTTTGTTTTTAATGTTTGTTTTTTTTTTTTTTTAAAGTAGAGCGTTGGAATTTCTTTTGACCTTGAAGAGATAATGCCCTAATATGCAGTTCATGTTTGTTACTTTAGCTGCTGAGAGTGATTATTTTCTAATGGGCTTCTTGGTTGTTCTAATCAGTCTTTGCCATTTTACCAAATGAATAAAAAATAATCTTAGAAAATCTTTTGATTAAATAAGGAATATGTATTTAATAAAGGATATGAGAGAGGGAATTCCATATATCCTTCTCTGTCTCTCAGAGATAATTTGTAAAAATTCCTTGCAGAGTAGAAAAGTCCTGCTGCAATGGGAAGAATAACTCTCAAGAATCTAACAACTTGTTTACACCTTCTGATATTTAGTTTGTAAGATTACATTATTAATGATAAAAATCATCAGGGAGACAAATGTGTAGTTTATTGCATATCCAAAAAGTATTTGAGATTTTGATTTCCCTTATGCGCTTACATAAACTACCATGTTTCTCAGACCTGTTAAAGGACCATGTGCACTTAGCACATAAGAAGAAAATTCCCAGACAACTGGGGAAAGATTCTGTTTCCCTTCACATTTGCAATGAATACATTGGATGTTAACCTTCCTTGTGTTCATCAGGTGCTGCTTGACTTCTTCCTCACAATAACTCTAATCCTTGTTTACTTCCTGATCCTCTGAGTCTTTCTGCTGAATTGATATTTTTTTCTGCACCTCGTACAAAAGATCTCTAAAGTTAAAGCATTCAGTGGACACTGGTAGTCAAAAATGGTGTTTGTTGCAAACCACTTTTCACTTAGTCCCATGACCTTGTACTGTATGTTGTGGGGAAGAGCCTTGTATATGCAGCAGTGAGGAAGGATATACGCTTTTGTCGTGGTTTAAACTCAGCCAGTAACTAAGTCCCATGCAGCCGCTTGCAGACCTTTCTCTTCCCCTCTCCCTGGGTGAGATGGGGAGGAGAATCAAAGGTATGTAAACCCCATGCATTGAGATAAGAGCAGTTTAATAACTAAAGAATAATAAGCTACTACTAATAATAATTATAATTATAAGGGAAATAACAAGGGAAGAAAATACAAGACCAAAAGGAGAAAAGAGAAAAAACAACTGTAAACACAAATGATGCACAATAAAATCGCTCACCACCTGCCGATACCCAGTCCAACCCATGCAGTTATCTGCTCTTCTGCGTAACCCCCCAATTTATATACTGGACATGACGTGCTGTGGTATGGCTAGTTTTGGCTAGTTTGGGTCAGGTGTCCTGTCTCTGCTCCCTCCCAGCTTCTTGCGCCCCTCCTCACTGGCAGAGCAGAAGGCTGAAAAGTCCTTGATCAGGGTAAGTGCTACTGAGCAACAGCTAAAACACTGGTGTGTTATCAGTATTGTTCTCAGACTAAAGCCAAAACGCCAAAACACCAAAACACAGCACTGCACCAGCTACTAGGAAGCAAATTAGCTCTAACTGGGGCAGCTTTGTAGCTCAAGTGTCACAGCTATAGGAGTACTACATATTTTTCTCCCACGAAAACCTTTGAGCTGCTCTGTTTTCTGCAGTCCTAATATTTTCCTGGAAGTAGCATTAGCTGACGTATACATCAATGGAAATGGTACTGTCATTCTTAGAGTCTTCTTAGTTATTGAAAAGCCTGACGCCTTTTGAAAATATAGTGTTTGAAAGGGCACATTTCAGAGCAGTATATGGGGATTGAGCTGTTTACTTTCTACTGTTCTGAATAGAAGACAGTCAGCAAATCCCTCTTACATGTCTTTGAAAATTTATCCTTTAATTTGAAACACTCCAAAAGGCTCCATTAATCATAGAATCAGAAAGATATTCTGATTTAGGATGATCAAGATATTAAACAAATGTGGCTGTATTGTTATTAGAAACCCTTTTCTGTATATGCCTGCATGGAGGTTCTGGGAAGGCAGAGATGAGAAACTGCTTGCTGCCCTAGTGAGGTAGTCTGATCTAAAGCTAAGAATAAACGTAATCAGGTCTACATATGCCTCAGTGCTTCTCAGGTAGTGGATGAACAACATGTAGTTGTTTGATGAAAACACCAAATGAATGTCACATTCCTTAGAGAAATCTTGTGTTTTCATTAGATAATATACCTGCAGCAGTTACTGGAAGGGAAAAAAAAATAAAAATGTTTTTTCTTCTGCCTGGACTAAAATTTGCTAATCCACGCAATGTGCGTATCAGGTGTTAGTGCCGCTGGGAGGACTTATTCATCAAATCTGGTGTGAAAGCAGTGTTGCTGGCCATTGAAGAACTTATTTTTTCTAATATGTTTTCACTTTTCAACTAGCTCACAAAGATAGCAGCAGCTTTCTGCTTTTCCAGTATGTGCTGAATCTACGACATAATTTCAGCTCAGCTCACAATAGACCACAATTCCAGTGTTCAGATACAGTGGTTTATTTTTAAGGGGAAAAATAAGGAACAAGGAAATTTCAGTCTTGAAGCCTCTTGAAACTCTGGTTGCTTGTAAGCATTCAATAACTACCAAAGCAGGGTATACATATGTGTTTCTCATATGTGTTTTTCTTAGTTTGTGTTAGCATTTGCTAAATAGCTGGTTTGGGTTTTATTTTGAAGTCTAGATGTTAGATAGAAACATAGCTATATAGATATTTTTATTTCAAGCTATTGCTTGGGTACTGTACATGATTTCTACTTTGTCAGAATTTCTTAGAATAATCACTTGCCCCAGTGAATGTCTCGTCCTCCAGTAGCCAGTTTGCTTGGAATTCTTTGCTGTTGTGTTTTCACTTCTTAGTTATCAAGCAAAAAAGGTGAACAAAAATGAGTGTGCTTACTCTTGCTGCCATCATGTACCCACAGTGTGTTTTAGTTTTCTATTCGGTGTATAAATGTCAGGGTTCTCCATTGAGAAATTAACCTGATCTGTGGGTTGTCATGCCCACAATACAAATGGACTTTACTTATTAAAATCTATAAATTGAATACTATCCTAAGTGGTATTGTAACTTATAGAATGCTGTAGTAACTGTTCCTTACAAGCTAGAGTGTCTTAAGAGTTGAAACAGTGAGGTGTGTCAGCAAGGACACTTGGATGCTGTATTCAGGAGATGTTATATTCGATTTGCAGGACCACAGTATGGTAATTTTCTGAGGTCCTGATTGAATCCAAAAAGCATACTCTTGAAAAAGTCTGCATTGCTTCAGGTTAAGAAAGCAGGAGCAAGGAATTTCTTTTGCCTTTGTCAAATTGGTCCATTCAACATTGTGCTTCAGTTTTTTTTTTGTTTTTTTTTTTTGTTTTTTTTGTCTGCCATTGTTTTTCGAAATGGAGGCCATCTTACCTGAAAAAATTCAAGCACCAAAAAAACCCCACCAAGCAGTGGATTTATTAACATACCAACACTGATACCTAGAATCTTTAACAGAATTATGCTGATACTGATGCAAGTACCTTCTTTCAGTAGTGGACCCAAGAGTGTCTTCAGGGTGAAGAGGATGGAGGAGATTAAGCTCTATCTTTGTGTCTATCAATACTTTAAATTTACCACTGGCAGGGGACAGAGTAGCAGGCCTGTTGAGAGCTCTGACAGCCAAAGTACTTCACTGAAATTATCATGAAGGCTACAATTTACAGTGTGCACTTAAATTTCACAGCATCCAAAATTATTATCCTCTTCTTTCTTTGAAATAAAATCAGGCACATTTTAGTTGCCAGTATTTGAAGAAAAATCCTGCTAGTATGATAGCAATGTGATTTGAAAAGCTATTAAAAAACCTCCGACCATACCCCACTTTTCTCAGCCAGGAATCTTCTTTGTAATCCTCTACCTCTGTCCCAGCCCACAAATGTTCACTTTACAACCTACAAAATTATGAAAGATTAAACATCTCATGACCCACACTCTACCATATTCACATACTGTGTGCATACTTGCTAATTACCTTAGCTTTCTTGATGCTTGTGGACTCTGAGATTCAGAATGATCCTTCATGGTCTAAATATCTAGCATGCGGTTGAAACTGCATAGGCATTTGTAATCTTGGAAGTCACTAAAGACAGTTGCTGTAAAGTACAGTCAAAAGGGTCAGGCTGAATCCAGATTGTCCCAGAGACAGTCTTATTAAAGTAGTGAGAGACAGAATGGGTTTACTTCATCTTCCTTTCAGATGTAGAACAAATGGGATTTAGCTGGATGGTTCTCCAAAAATTATTTCCTATACAGGCTAGCTAAAGGGAACACTGGTTGAAAACCATAATGTGCCATTTTATAGGTGGGAGGTTTTGCATGTGCAGGTTAGAAAAGGTAGCTCACTTTTGGGGGCTGTGAGTGTTGGTGTTGAGAATGTACCTTCAAGAACAGTCTTACTTCTTTACAAGAACTTTTTCCTAATGACTTTGCCCATGACTACTGACTTTCACTGTTGCAATAAATAGGTGTCTGTGTATGTCTATGTGGCTACCCAGTCAGCTTCTCAATTTCTCTATATGCTAATACTTTTGCTACAGCTTTTGAAAACCCATACTGCTTGAATGGTGGACATTTGGAGACACTAGGCGACAATGTCAATCTTGATAGTCCATTGATGTCCACCTGAATATAAAAAATAAAAGATTGATTCTAACCCTAGCAATTCCCAAAGGAGGCTGTGTTTTTTTGAAAATCTGTCCTACAAACCAGACGTATGCAACTTTTCCTCCATCAAGCTTGTCTGGCTTTTTTTAAATGACTAAATTCACTAGTTTCTAGCATTTTTTTCCAGTGGTTTCTCTTCTGTATACCTTTCTCTCTTTATCTCTTGTGGCAACTGTTTTCTGCTTGTCTGCCTGTTCAAATCGAAGTGTTAAACAGTAGTGCTTACCTGCCTCCTTGTTTGT